TTTGTTCCCCTTTTCCCACAAAGCTCCAGTGACTGACAGACAGGCAAGAGCTATTTAGTCCCCCAGTCTTAGATTAACAGACAACACAGGAAGACTACTAAATTCAGCGGGTTAAGTCACTGCATGCTGACACTGGGCTGCGCCTGCAGGCAGTGAATGAGTTTCCTTGTGTCAGAGCTGTGAAAGCCTTTGGGGGAGAGGAGGAAGGGCCATAGGAAGCCTCAAAGCGCTTGCCAGGAAGGGTGGAGGGGAAAGCCCAGGATCACTTTTTAAATGAGCAGATGGCCAGGGCCCTGATGTTGCACTCCGCCAATTAGAGACTCCCTGTGCCAATTATTCGCATGGAGGCGAGCAGCGTTTGCCGGGCAGGCGAAATTCAGGGGGCTCATAGTGTTGAGACCAGCAGACACTAACTCTTAAACACAGCCTGTCCTTTCGTTCTGCTTACCAGCTCTCGTACTGCCTCCTTCCACCACAACATCTATCAACTCTTTGCCCCCTGAATAAGGCCAGCCAGAAAGGTAACAAGGTTTTGAAGGGTCACCTTCTTTCCTCAGAGCTTTCTGGCTTTTAACGTCTTTAATCAACGCTTCTGTCCTGCCCAACGTCAGGACTAGGAGCCAATGGCACTCCAGGTCCCAGTGGGAGCACCCACACGGGTCATCCCACACCCTGCACAAGTTACTCCCCACTGAATCGCCTGGGAGGCTGCTCAGATGCTCCACGTGGCTGAGAGCCAAATTCTGCCTAATCAAGGGGCCACGCTGGCAAACTGCCTGGCACTCAAACCTAGCTTAAACAAAGTCCTGCATGTAAATTATCTGCTCTTGTCATGTCCCAGACCAGAGGACAACGCTCTCCCTGGTGCCAGGAAGGGTTTGCTTGGCTGCACCCCAGCGCGCAGGAAGGAGTGACCAAGTGTGACAGCCAAATGGGGTCTGAAGACTTGTCGTGTTCCTCTTTATCAAGGACCTAACTTCGTTTGAGCAAGTTAGGCCTCCCGTGCACACAGATTTCATTCCCAGCCTCTGCCTCACCCCTGGGGAGATGTCAGTGACAAACTGCTCGGACTTCACAGCGCACTGGACCGCTGGACTTGAGAGAAAGTTCCATCAGTGTAACTTCTCAGGCCCCTGTACTTACTCGATATCTGCTCCAGCGATGAAAGAGCCTGGCTTTGAAGAGATGAGGACGGCACTTTTGACAGCTTCATTGGCCCAAATCTCATTCATTACATCAGTAAACTCAGAGTTCAATTGTCTGGATAGAGTGTTCACCTGAAAGCAGCAAATAAGCCTTGTAAATAGGGAGCCTAGGAGGCAGTGGAGTTTAACCTCTGATTAAGTACTGACTCTATCATCAGAAAACTTGCATAGAAGACAGACTGACACCAAAAAGCCAAAGCCAATGGTAGGTCCGAGTGGATTTTCCAAGCCAGAAGGAGGGACTAGACCATCCAGGAATTTACCCAGCAGCCAGACCACTGCTTGGCACAACTATAACACTTCTGGGGCGCTCAATTTGAGCCCAGATTTGCTATAAAAGTTAGTTCATCCTGTGTCATAATACAGCAAGAAAATAACTCCAAGAGGAAACCCTGCAGCAGGTCATCAAGTAAGCTGTTATTAATAATTTCTTCCTTAACCTCACCAATAGTGGGTTTGTGACCTCAAACACAGATTTTATGAGCTTCTAAGCTGTTTTTTCTATCCAATGGACCCTCTCCTTAACCACCTTGAATCCAACAGCTTAGTAAGATTTAGCCATATCTTGTGCCAGTGAGAGAGACAAGTTAGTTTAATACATATAAAATATTTCCACGAGGCATTTTCAGATGTCTTAAACACCTAAATGCTTGTTCTCCTATTTCTACTTTGTTCACAACTTTGAAACACTGCAGATTACGGAAGTTTTAGTCTTAAATTAGCATTTTCAATGCCTTCTCCGTATGACTGCTATTCTTGCCATTCCCACTGATATGCCAGCTGAAACAGTACCTTTGAATTTGGGGTGTTGAAGCGTACAACAGCGACATCTCCTTTGATATCACAGCTAACGTGGGTTCTAGCTGGAAACAAACAGAAACACGTTATCAGCTTATTCTCAGTGGACTTTAAGAAAGAAAATGAACTCGCAGAGAAAAGCTTTACACTTACTCTGAA